CCTTCCATCCCGTTGCCAGGGGCTTCCGCCAGGGGCGCAGTGGAGGCTTCTTGCAGCAGCGGGTCCAGGAGGTGAGTGTCTGGCAAAACGCCCTCAGGCCCCAAGTCTCCCGAGCAGAACTTGAGCAGGCTTTTCCCCAGCTGCGCGCTCACCTCCGCCACGGCTGTGACCATACTTGAGTCAAGGGCGCGCCCACGCAGGGCCCATTCTGGGATGCACCAGCTCCCTGCCCCAGGCAGCCTCGAACCACACACCTGCAGGGCCCCCTCCTGAGGTCCGGGCCCAGGACCTCCCCCCCAGCCCAAGATCCCCCGCCCACCTGATCCCTGTGCCTGGTCTCACCAGCTGCCATTTCTGCACCAAAGATCAAAGCCTTGGCGCCCGACGTGCCCAGGCAGAAGGCCAAGGGTTCGAGCCTCAGGTTGACATTGAGAAGCGCGGCTTCCACGCCCGCCTTAGCCAGGCCCAGCCACAGCCCCACGAACTCGGGCCGGCCTTCCAGGAAGAGGGCCACCACGTCGCCTGGCGCGAAGCCCAGCTGGAGGAAGAGGTTGGCCACGGCGTTGGAGTAGGCGTCCAGCTGCGCGAAGGTCCAGCACGCGCCGCTGCTGGCGTCCACCAGGGCCAGGCGCTCGGGCTGCCGCCGCACCACGGCCTGGAAAATGCGCGGGATGGTGTGGCCGGCGCGCTGGTGTCGCCGCAGCTCCAGGCGCACGCGGATCAGGACTGCCAGGCCGCTGGGAGGGAGGAGAGCGACGGGTCGCCGTCACCAGTGCTCTGAACACCCTGCCTGGCAGGGACACATCCCCATCTAACGAATCCAATCCGGGACCAGTGTAGCATTTCCATCCCCGGACCGACCACGGTTCCAGTCCTGGACCCGGTAGTTTGAAAATCACACGGGAGGGACCAGCAGATGGTGTAGGGGTTACATCACTGGACTCTCACATGGCTGACCCGGGTGGTTTTAAACTCCCCTGTGGCCAAACCCAGTGGCTTCAAACACACAGAGTAAGTGTGTGTGCATGCCCAAGATCCCGAGAGGAGAATGGAGGAAAAGGGATTGCAGTGTGGCCATCCCCTCAGGGGGTGATTTCTCACTTTCTGTCTCTCTCTGTCTCCCTGGCCAGTGCACGCACCCTATAGCAAAAATCTCTCCAATAAAAAGAAAGAAAGAAAATCGTACAAGGTGTGTGTGCATGCATTCCCAAATTCCCAAGAAGAAAATGGAGGAGAAGGGATTGCAGTGTAGCCATTCCCCCTAGGGGGTGATTTCTCATTTTCCATTTTCTGTCTCTCTGTCTCTGACTCACTGGCAGGTGCACACGCCCTATAGCAAAAATCTCTCTCTCTAAAAATAAAAAGCGAAGTCCTAAGGGAAGTCCCAGGCTGTGTCCCAAGGTCTCCCTGTACAAGCCAACACTCTGCAAGGCGAACTGACATGGCAAGGTTGCAGGTTCGTGTCCAGAGACCACTCTGAGTACACTGGGCATGAATGTACCCACCATCCAGGGCAGACTGAGGCTGGGGTGGATCGTAGACACGGGACCCTGTCAGGACAGCCTCTCTCTCTCTCTCTCTCTCGCTCTCTCTCTCTCTCTTTCTCCCCTCCCCTTTCCTCCTATCCCCATCTCTCTTGCTTATGGAAGAAATTAATTATTTTTAAAAAATATTTTATTTAACTTTATGGATATATGTATTTTAATTTGACCAGAGAGGGACAGAGTGAGAAAAAGAGAGTGAGAGAAAGTGAGAAAGCAAGCTGCCA